CTCTCTCTCTCTTTCTCTCTCTCTCTCTCTCCAGTTCTCTTGGAAGAACAAACGCAGACTTTCAGAGTGTTAATTAGATAGTCAATAATGTGTACGGCAAGTCAGCAGTGCAAATGTGAAATTAAATATACAACTTTCCACATTTTATTTAAAAAAGAATCCTTTCCACTCTTGAAATCATTGTCTAAAATTGCAGGCAAAAGCAGGGTGATTGAATTCCAGCTGCTGGCTAATTGGGCCTCTAAGTTTAAGTATACAGTGAACTGGGTAATTTGAGTATTATTGAGTTACCATTTTATTTCACGAAGCAAAATAAATGGATTTTTTAGCTGTGAGCTATGGGTGGATATATATGTGTGTGTGGAAGCAAGTATTTGCATATCTTATTCAGCTGCCGCCATTCTTATTTTTGTTCTAAAGTGTTTGATATGATTCTGTTGCAAGATGGCAGTATAAGCTTCAGCATCAGCAAGCCATTGAATCAGTTTATGTTGATAAATGGGGAAAGGGGACATAGTGCCTAGGCCTAAGTTAGACCAAAAAGCCAATTGCAGTTCAAAAGTTTGTTCTCATTCTCTCTCTCTCTTTCTCTTTCTTAAAAAAATAGGGGGGGGGGGAGGTTTTCCATAGTGGGCAATCACTGCAAAACTGAATAAAGGGGAAATAAACAGAGACAAAGGCATTACTATGATTCATCTTCCAACTTTGTTTGCTTTAGCTTGGATTTGTTGATCAAATATAGCCAAAAAATTAAAAATATTTCTACCCAGTAGCATTACTCGCCTAATGCCATATATGTTTATTCCTGAATAAAACAGAACCAGGAGGAATATCACTTCCAGCCTTTGCTGGAAGCTGAATTACTAAACCAATCATGGAAAATAAATAGAAATGAATAGCTGGCATTGTATAAATTCCATTAGAGATCTAAGCGCCCACGCTTCTGTGAGAAATCTGATATGCCAGGACAGGTTAATTTATGGCGATGTCTGAGAAAATAAACACTGACCTTATTTCTTTCCCTTGCTGAAGAAATGCATGTGATCTTTATATCCGTGAAGGCTTGCCCTTACTAGATTAATTGGGTCTTTTGTACAGGTTAGTTTCACTTTGTGAGAGAGGAGCGACTATGCTGGAATATCTGGGGAAGCTCTCTCTTCCTCTAGCTGGAAAGAAGTGGATGGCTGTAATACAACTTTAGGCTCTGATGGAAGCTGTTGTGGATGTGAAGGGAGGGAGGGCTGACGCAGTGCTCTCCCAAGACTGTGTTACGTCATGTGGCGCAGGTCCCAGTAAGTGGACTTGTGGGACATCGTGAAAGGGAGGTGGAGCGTGTGATTGGATCTGCAGCCTTGTCACACCTGTACCCAAAGCAATGTAGAAGCAGCAGCACAGGTCACTGCCTCTGTGCCAGTCATAGACTTAGAATCTGTGCTGGCACTTACATGATGGCACCAGTTGTATGGTTGTATTAGTGCTAGGGTCCTACCACCCTATCAGTGATCTACAGCAGTGGTCGGCAAGGTTTACCTTGCCTGGGCCAGTTCACTCCAGTGGAAATCTCTCCATGGGCTGGATCACATGCGCCCCCGCAAATTCCGGCGTCTGCTCAGATGCGATTTCTGGCACCGTGAAAATGAGTCCCTGCACTGCACTGCGCCAGTTTAGCGCAGCACGTGGGGACTCACTGAGCGGTCAACTCAGTTTGGGGGTGGCTCACGGGCCAGTTAAACGACCCCCGTGGGCCGCTTGTGGCCCATGGGTCTTAGGTTGCCGACCCCTGATCTACAGCAAGGATAGGGGACCTGTGGCCCTCCAAATTGTTCTTGGCCTGCATTCTCCATCATCCCGGACCATTGGCCATGTAGACTGGAACAGATGGGACTTGTAAGTCCAGCAACACCTGGAGGGCCTTAGGTCCCCGAATCCCTATCTACAGCATTTACACAGAACACTTTGGTAAAGTTCTTTAGCTGTAAACTATGTAGGCACCTCACTCCTCATTGCATGAATGAGTGTTGTGTGGTTCATTACCAGGAAATCCTTCATTTTCAAGGTACTAAGTCTTCACATGTTACGGTAAGCCAAACTATAGCCTGCTGGGACCGTGTGAATGTGCTGCCTCCCAGCTGCTTTGTTCCTTCCCTGTCTTTTTAGCTCAGTATGGTGCACAGCTAAACCAAGCTTTGGCCCAGTGTGTCAGACCAACTGTGATACAAAGATGTCTGCAAATGTGACATGAAGGCTGACAACATCAATCTCGTCATGTGGGAATCCCTTGCAGACAACCACAGTGCCTGGAGACAGGAAGTCAGGTTGTGTATCCATAACAGTGATCAGAGGAGGAATGACTACTAGGAGGAGCACAGAGAGAAGAAACACCATGGTGTATCTGCAGCAGCACAACAGCCCCGGCTGCAACAAAACATGTCTCTCCTGTATTGGTCTCTACAGCCACAGCAGGCTCTGTAACTTGCCAACAGTTTGACGTCATCTCCAAAGACACACTCCTCCTTTGTCTCTCGAGGCAGACAGATGCCAACAAGTTATCCAAATCAGAAATTGTGGCTGAATTCTTCTCCTTAACCACAATCTGTAGACAGAAGCAAACCTTAGCTACAGTTCATGGTTATCAAAGTTAACCACAATGCTGGATTTCAATGACACGCTAAGCCAAAAATTGGTTTACCTGTTACACTGAGCTGAAAGTGCTGGGGGGGGGGGGGAGACAAAGTAGCAGCAATCTCCGCAGAAGCCAGCATGTTTGCGGATTCCTGCTAAACCATGGTTTGGCTTAGCGTTATGGGCAAACGTGGCCCATGTTTCAGTGACCTGCAGTGGGCATCTATTCATAAGAGCAATATGTGTGTGTGTGTGTGTGTGTGTGTGAGAGAGAGAGAGAGAGAGAGAGAGAGAGAGAGAGAGAGTAAGTAAAGATGCACCCACACAGCTTGGTGTTGCAATGGTGTTTGTATATGCTGCCCCAGGGTTAATCCATAAAATAGTCCAGAGGCTCACAATTTCAGGTCAGGAGCAATTTTTAAAAGTTGGTCTTTCAACAAGAGCTGGATGAATGAAAGGCTTTAAAAAATCCCCCCCCCCCAAATCCCGAACAGCTTTGAAAAACACAGCACAGTATGCCTGCTGTAATATCTGTTGTTTGCCTGTATAGTAAGAGAGTACCCACTGAATGAATTACAGGCACAGCACCTGTTTTCGAGGGTTTAACAATCTCTCCCCCCCTCCCGCCACTCAATGCATGAAGAACGTGTGCATTTTATAAAATCTGCTGGGAAACAAAGACTCTGTGTTGATTGATTTTTTTTCATGGCATACATATATTAAGCAAACGTTGTTAGCGCCCAACACATTCATTGTGTTTTTGCCACTTAAAGAGCAGAACTTTGGCAGTGAGGCTGGTCCTGCTCACTCAAGCAACCTGACCGCATTATTGCAAGGGGATATCCTTTGCAGTTCAGAATCCTGTGCCTTTTGGGTGTCCGTATTCTGTGTTCTGTGCTACATCATTAAATGCAAAAAAGAAAAGTTATTTAAAACGAGAATACTTTTTCGATTGCTATTCCGGGCTGTCTTTGGGGAAATCTTAATTTCTTGTAGAGACTGGTGAGAAAGAATGTAAAAAGAGAAACTGTTTTCCTAATTAGAATTTGATGGCCATATCTGTGATATTTGAGATATGTAAAGATGCTAATATTATCAGGTTCCATAGGCCCTTGTGGTCATGACTTGGTAGACAGAGTGTGGCATTAACTCAGCGGAGAGAACTAATAGGTTCAGTAAATATTAAACCTATTTCTTTTGGCCTTTGGGGAAATTACTTAAGTAGTTTAATTTCAAGGCAGCTATTTGATATTGGCTGGTTTGTGTTTTTATCTTATTAAAATTATTTTTCAATCATTGATGCAGAGATCACGTTTATTAGATAAACTTTAATAAAAACATTTCAGAAAGGCAGACATATCCAGTAAACTGACAGGGGACCAAATCCTACCCCATCCCATTTCTGTCTTATTTGTTTTTTGATGAGTGTTCTACAGAGGAGAAAAATGGGAACAAAATATAATCATTGGTCTTGACTGGGTTACTCTGGAATAACTGCTCTAAAGGCTGTAGCCTTTGGGAAGAATACCCAAGGCAGTTGTTCTAATAAAGCAAGCATTTTGGCTTGCCAGCTGTAAAAGAATCTCCCCCCTCTCTCCCCCAGCAGTTCTCCCAACCACTCTCAGAGTCAATTTCATGGGGTACATGGGGAGGAGAGAAGGGAGAAAGCCCCATTGCACAAATGGTTTTCCTTGCACAGGGTTTTCGCCAACGGAACTGATTAGGTGATTCCCACCGCTTGCTTGCCAAGGGCTGGAACTTGAAAATTTCAGAGTATTTTTTGAAACTGAACAAATACGTTTGTATTTTTAATCAAGTGTGCAGATAAATTAGGGTTGAGGAACCTGTGCCCCTCCGGTTGTTGTTGGACTCCCATCTCCCTTCTGGAGGGCCAAAGGCTCCCCACCCCTGAGTGACTGAAGTCAGAGGTCATCACTGATGTAAAATGTCACCACTTATCTCATTTTGCCAGTAGGGCAAGCTTGCATGATTTCTGGGTACTTCCACACTGGATGTTTAAATGTGGAATTGCCACATTTTGACTCAATTAAAAAGTCCAATATTTTTCGCTCCATAAGATGCACTTTTCCCCTCCTAAAAAGTAAGGAAAATGTGTGTGCGTCTTATGGAGCGAATGCAAGCGGGAGGCTCTGCTCAGCGCTTGCTTTAAAGAGCCGCGTGGAGTGTGTGTGCGGCTCTTGCTGGCTTTTCCCTGAGGTGGGAGAGGGGACAGACGGGCTGCCCTCCGAGGGACGGAAGGGGCTCCGTGTCAGGACTCCCTTTCGACCCTCATCCCGCTTTGCTGGGAAGCCAGCAGAGCAAGAGGCGCTGCACAGCTATCGCTCTTGCTCTGCTGGCTTCTCAGCGAAGCAAGCAAAGCGAGAGCCGCAGCTCTCACTTTACTTGCCCATCCCTCTTCCCGCCTCGCTGTAAAGCAAGCTAAGCACCTGTCCCGGTGTCTCCTCCTCCTCCTCTTTTACAGCGAGGCGGGAGGAGGGATGGGCAAGCAAAGTGCGAGCTGTGCAAAGCGGGAGAGAAGCCATGTAAGCGGCTCTCGCTTTGCTTACTTTAAAGCAAGAAAAGCGAGAGCTGCTTACATGCTCTGCGCAGAATATTATTTTTCTTGCTTTCCCCCTCTAAAAACTAGGTGCGTCTTATGGTCAGGTGTGTCTTATGGAGTGAAAAATACGGTAAGTGAACATTATTGAGATGGTGGAAGATCTGCCTAAGCGTGGAAAGTTATCCTACTTATAGTGGGAGAACAATGAGTGGGCAGCATTAAAAATCTTCGATCTGGAATATTTGCTTCAACATATTCTGGGAATTAGAAGAGCGGTAATAATAGAAGTGTGTGTGTATATGTGTGTCTGTTTATATCATCTTCTTGGTTAATTCAGTTAAGTTAGTGAAGGTGCTCTGCACTCTGCAGTAGAACTTATTGAACCAAGGATGTGTAAGGAATTTGATTTTTGTGAACTCCGTTAGAAACTGACCTTATCCTAGACAAGTAATGTTCGGATCAGAATGTAGCTGTCAATCAGATTTTGCATTTCTCCAAATGTAATGAAATGGGGCGAGGATATCAAGATGCATTTTAAACATAGGTTTGTAGAGGGAAAATATTTATAACTACATATTTCAATGCACATTTTTGTAGGGTTTTAAAAAAATTAAAATAACAGATTAATTCAGGGCACACACATATGAAGGTGACCCACAGATGAATTTGTCTAGCCCATATTATCTCTAGTGAGTCCTGACAGTTCTAAGAGCTGTTATATACATTACTTGCAATTGTGGGAGGAGAATGCTTAAATACAAATTGGGTACCATTCTGAGAGGTTCCTACCAGTGGTCCTTCTGTGACTTAAAATTGTAGAGTTGGAAGGGAGCTCACGAGTCATCTAGTCCAACCCTCTGCAATTAGGGTGCAATACTTGAATACCATGATGATATGATTACTGAATTTGATTGTTTTTACTATTAAACAAAAATTATATAGGCAAACTCCAGAGATTTTGGTTTTGGAAGAAAAACAGTGAGAAAAACTGGGGGTTTTATACTCTTCCATGTGTAAAAGGGTCAGTTAAAATCAGCTGTAGCTTATCACCCATTTTTTTTGTAGGAAACCCAGCACTAAATATCCTGGTCTTGAAGGCTCTTAACTCTCATATATGTCTAGTTAGTTTCAGTAGAACTGACTTCATTGTACCTTGCACCCTAAATCAAATTACAGCTGTGTTTAATATACAGAAGTTGTGGAGTCTCTGGCTGGGAAGAACAGTGGCTGGAAATTTGGAAGCACAATTTTGAGCTGTATTTTGCAGCCTAATAAATGTAGTTTCAGCAATGCCTCTGCAGGGTGGAGCCTTATGTTCCTTCTACATCATTGGCTACCTTATATATATTGCCATTAAGCAGCTTTGGAATACAGACTTGCTTTATGAGCAAAGGTTAATTAGGGCCTGAAGGAAGCCTGAGGCAGAAAAAGTACAGATGCAGTAGCTCCAGAAATGAGGTCCGCTGGCCAATTTCCCTGATTATATAGCTGTTGTATTAAATGCAGGGCCAGGAGAGCTGCTCTTTGGCCTCACCAGACCATGGATTTCCCCCAAAGTCAATGTTCTGCAATAGGAAATCTGCATGTCCAATGCACAATTGAATCCCTGAGTCCCAGTTGGTGGTATTTCTGCTCTTGTAGTTTGAACAGGCAGCCTGAATTATTTAAAGGGGATGACTTCACTGCCAAAACTCATTATGGGGGCTTTGAGCCCATTGCTAAATTCCTTCCTTGCTTAGTGTGGGATATGCATAGCACTGTCTAGGGGCACAGGAAGCTGCCTTATACCAGAGGCAGATTTAGGGCAGTGTGACCAGTTCTGCCGCACTGGACGCCGAGCCTAGGGGGCGCCACTGGGCATCACAACTAGGATGTAGTGACTTGAGCAGAACGGAAGCAGGAGGAAGTTTGGCCTCAGACAGGGTGCTGCTGAAATTTGAAAGATCAGAGTTCACCCCTGCTTATACTGAGTTCCATCTAGCTTGGTATTATCGACATTGACTGGCAAGACAAAAGAGGTTTAGTCAAGACGATGCAGAAGTTGGTGTCCCATATATAATCTTTTGATTTTATACCTTGTCCAACTCTGCAAAGTTTAGTTGGGCAGCAAAAGCAAAACAGAACAAAGTGCTGGCCATTTAAAATTCATTGCATTATTTGTTACATTTTTAAGCTGTCCTTCAGCCAAGTTTCTCAGGGCTGCATACCATTCACAATAAGAAATAGTGCAATAAAATACTGCAATAAACCCAGAAACTATGTCTTGTCATGAGGAGCCTGGCAGTAATTGAATAAAGACAATAAAGCAATAAAGACAGCTGACTATCTTTACAAATTCCTAAATGTCAGGTGGAACTGATGTGCCTTGAGTCAGTGATGGACATGTATCAACAAGGGGGGCAGACATACCTTCAGTGAAAGGTCTTTTTCAATTGGGAAGCCATAATCAATAAAGCCTTGCTAAAAGTGTGGCGTGAGATGTAGTTATAGATGGGACCATCAGCAGGGCCTCTGCCAATAGAAGGCCTTTTCCAGCATAATTGCATTGTGAAGTTACAGTGGTACCTCGCAAGACGAATGCCTCTCAAGACGAAAAACTCACAAGGCGAAAGAGTTTTTCGTTTTTTGAGTTGCTTCGCGAGACGAATTTCCCTATGGGCTTGCTTCGCAAGACGGAAACGTCTTGCAAGTTTGTTTCCTTTTTCTTAAAACCGTTACAGTAATACAGCGTGCATTGCTAGAAGAGGTGCAGTTGCGACTTGACTTTGGGGAGCAACTCATAGCACGCGGTGTGGTAGCCTTTTTAGAGGTTTTTGAAGTTTTTTTTGAAAAAATTGAAACCGTGCTTCACAAGACGAAAAAACTCGCAAGACAAAAAAACTCGCAGAACGAATTAATTTCGTCTTGCGAGGCACCACTGTACATCCCAAAATGACTTCTGTTGGCTAGAAGTCTGCTTTCCAGCCTAATTTCAGGAGGGACAGGGGCTGGGGAGTCAGCTCCAGGGAAGGCCTTTGTGGTTGCCTGAGTGCCCATACAAATGGGCATCCATTATTTGGTTACGCTGGTGTAAGAACTATGGAGATGAATAGCACTTTCCCAAAAACTTAAAGATTGAAGTCTTAAGTGTCTGTGAATCAGCCTAGTCTTCTCCTTATAGCAGAGAGTAAAATGTGAATGGACTAGTGTATCATTCAGCCAATTTGTTTTTCTGTCTCTAAAAATAAAATGACAAAGACATCACATTGAGTGGAATGCTAAGCAATGTCTTGGTTAGTGTACATGTTGATAAAATCTTGAATGAATTAAATAAGATGTCAAGGGGGAAAAAATCTTTGGTCAGATACATGGGATATCCCCCCTCCCGTTTCCTAAATATAATCCCTATTTAAATATAAATATGTCATGGCATTTGATTACAATAACTAATAAATAGAATTTATTCCTGGCTAAATATTGTTCTGTTCCCTTGGCAGAGGCAGGAGTCTAGCTTCCTAGTATTTAGACTGAGCCTGGCCAAACCACAAGTAATACTGGCTCGCAGCAAGTCACAGTAGTCAATATGGCATCCTATGTTTCCTTCTATGCTTGAAGGAGTTGGCTAAGCTTCTCTCTCCAAATATCCTTCTTTCCTTGAGACCAGCTTGGTGCTTCCAATCAGGACACAATTATTTGCTGCACTCCACACAAAGCGGTTTGTTTCAGACCTGACACCCACAAGGAATGCCCTGCAACTACTTCGAAATATTCCCACGGACCAATCCGAGGGTGTTTTCAATTCAGGGTGTTTTCAGCCAATCGCATGCACTGCAGGGAGGTGCTTAGCCAACACCCTGTTATGTACTGAAGTTCTCACCCTGGGCCAGCAGGGGGATACTGTAGATAGTTCAGGTCCACATATGCAAATAAGGGATCGAAAGTGACATTCAGTGATTGGATAGTTACAGAAAATGGTTACTGTTGCGTTCTAGTGGAGCTCTATATAAGCAGACTGGCTGAACCCTTCAGTTCAGTTCTGTTCTGTTCTGTTCTGGCCTGTGAATAAACAAGAGCTGTTTGAAGAATCGCTGTGTCGTCTGATATGTTCACCCACAACTTAACACACCCCACTTGGGAGACTTGAGTAGGAAGCAGCTGAAGGGGCAGGCAGGTTGTGTTGCTTTTGTTTAAAGCAGAGCCAGGGAACCGTCACGAGATCATTTGGTTTCCGTGCTGCATTGAGAGGCTGAAGCGCAGCCCAGAAGAGCTCTCCCTCCCCATCGCTCAGGCCCTCTGTTTCTGCCCCTACCCATCCTCCAGGCTTGCACTCCACACCCCCACTGCGTCCTCTGCCAGGATGTGTCAAATGTGTCTTTGCGTGAAGTGTGCTCTGCCTTTTGTGGCCTCTGGTTCCATGTACCCCCAGCCCCATCTGCAGTTAGCTGCCCTGCCCTTCACCTCACCAAGCACCACTGCCTACGATTAGGGATGGAGGAGAAATTCACTTCTAATTTAAAGGCAAACCTACCCCATTTGTATTTTCCCAAAGAATGCATGACCTGGAATACAGCCATCCTTTTAAATTGTAGTTCTCCAAATTTTGCCTTTCTCCAGTCAAGTAATATGTACAAAAATGCACATTCTAGGGTGAAGTATGTCTAATAATTCCCATATCACCGAAAATAAAAATTAAATAGCATTTTATTAGGGGAAATTACTCTGCAGAAACATGTATCTTAATGGAAATTGCACAGCTATATTTGGAGAAATTCGCTGATGACTTTACATGAGCACATCGGCAACTTCTGCGGAAATGTGGGAAACTGAGGATGAGAAAAATGAGAAATGGAAATGTCCATATTTGCCTATCCCTACCTGGGACTGTATATAGATCTCCCCTGCCCTTGAATTGCTCAGCTTTCCTTAAGAGGCTAGCTGAACCCTTGAACTGCAAGAATGCTGGGAATGCATAACGGAGCAATTTGCATATGA